ACAAGAAATGTAGATGGAAGAATGTTATTCCTTTTTTTCAGCTCATTTTCCACAGCTCAGGTACTTCAATTCGCACTTACAACTTTTCTTGATTCCCATGCCATTCACACACACACAAACACACATAGATCCAAAGTTTAATCCAGTTGGAAGCTCTTCCGGTTACATCACATTTTCAACCGCAATTTTCCACTCGCAAGCAACAGGCCCAGGCAAAGGGCCGAGTCGTTGGCCAATCTGTGCTAGAGAGACCGTAGAGAATGCCATTAGGGTCGGGCCTGGCACCACATAAAAGGGCGCCACATAAAACGAGAACGAGCAGAAGAAGCAAAAAGGCCAAAGCAAAGTAAGTTAAGTTAACTTAAGACACAAGAACTGCGAACGAGGCGAACGAGGCATAAAAACCAAACAATTGCTGAAAATCAAATGTGACAACTTTTACCAAAATTAAAATCAGCAAAAGTAAAAAGCCAACAACATCAAATGGCCACATAAAAGAAAGCTACTGCCAACAGACGTGAAAAGGGCACGACTAGCAGATATCCTATAGAAATAAACATGTCTAATAAAGTTCTCTGTCGAAGTGGAATGATATTTGTAAACTAAGGCGTCGAGGTTTTAGAGGAAAGCTGGCGTCAAAAAGGGCACGACTAGCAGATATCCTATAGAAATAAAGATGTCTAAATAGAGTGGGAAGAAATTTGTAGAGTGAAGAGTTGAAAATTTGAAAGATCTCTTTATACAAATTCAAGACTCTCTCTAGAGAGATAATGGTAGGAATAAAGGGTTCAAGCGTAAGATTCTCTTAAGGCTAAGTTATTTATTAATTTAAATTGTTATTATTTTTATTTTTCGACTAAGCAGCAGTTGAAGTCCTCATTTCATCAAGATCTTAGACTGAGCAAGAATATAGGCTATAATATTACAGAGTACAAACTTATACTTGACTTTAAAATGCCCTACACAGGCCCACGCTGCGGCTACAGGGTATACAAAAAGCAAAAGAGAGATAGACAAGGAGAGAGAGAGAGAGAGAGTGGGATAGCTTCGCAGATGAGGAAATCGAGCGCTGGGCGTGTCCGTGGGGTCCTGTGTGTCCTGCGGCGGCCAGTGGGCGGGGCGGGGCGAGTCATTGATGCCAAACGGAAATGTGCGCACTTTCAAGAAGTGCACTAAAAATGGCGACGAGCACTTCCGCTGATGGCACGACTGGAACTGACTCTGACTCACACACAAGCATATAAAAGTTGAATGATAGTTTGAAGCGCCGGCAGCTGAAATCACGAAAATGCCCGAAGCACGTCAGAAACAAGTCAAAGCCAAGACACTTGCAATTGTGCGGACACGTCCTGGCCAAACAGTCCGGCTGTCAGATGGCCAGATTGCCGGATTGCCAGACTGGCAATGTAAACAAGCGTCATTTCGAATTGCATCGAAAGCGTTCGCTCGACTGGCTGACATTAGCGGCAACTTATGCGCACAACATGGCGTATGATTAATATGATTAGCTCGCCAGCCCAGCTTTGGGCCATATTCCAGCTAATTGCTAAATGGCCCAGCGTGCGCGTATGTTGCATAACAATTGCTGCAAGTCCAATAACAAAGTTGTCGTTAGTTGAGTTCAAAGCAAGGACTCGGCTTATGCTTGGTTCAAGCTATGCTTTATAGTTGAGAATAATGAGCATGAGTTCGTGTTGAATCTAGTTGGCAGGCTTGGTTATCGGTGTTGAGATGCTTTTTATAGCCAAGTTTTTGCATATGCAAAACAGGGGAATATACAACAAAATCTTTTTACAGCGTTGTGTTTTCAGATAAAGTGTTCGGTTCACGGTTCGAACCGGTTCATGAACGGGAATTCATACACTCATTAACTTTGGTTCCGGGAAAAGTTTCTTTCGATTCCTTTACCTTCTGCATCGTTTGATTTGGTTCATATGAACTGTTGTTCCGAGCTCGAATTGCTTTTACTCGGAACTAGTGTTACTAATAACATGGAACTAGTCTTAATAATAACAGCTGTTACACAAGTTTCCCTTTTACATATGTATACATGCCCATCCCTCTGCCCCCTGCCCCTTGACAGATAATTTTCGGGTCGTGGAATGGAAATATAACGAAACGAACCGCTTGGCCTGGAAAGAGGCAATAAAATTTGGTCAAAAGCAGAAGCATAGATAAGCGTCAAACAGTTCACACATTTTCCTAGAGCCCAGTCAGTTACACAGTTCCGAGCGCTGGCCGCAACCCCGCAACCCCGCAACCCCCCCCCCCCCCCTCCAGCTTCACGCCGTCCCGCCCCGTTCGCTGAAAGTGCGCTCAAGCGTGAAAATTAAACGTTTGCTGGGCGTGGCGCAAGGGAGGAGGGGGCAACAGCATCCCTTACGCAACCGCAACGCAGCGACGATATTGAAAACTTTGATGGAAAACTTTAAGTGAAAGCTGGAAAATGTATAAAGAACGCACAGCACGAAACGTGCATGAATAATGATTTAATAAAGTGCTGTGCTGAATAGTGTTAGCTAAATAAATGTTGCAATTGATTTAGAGTAAGTGTTGGATAACTCGCAAAGTGAACGAGTCAACAATTTCGCACACTCGCTTTTGGCTAAAAATAATCCAGGCTTGGGAAAAAGTCAACTGTTGATAGAAAAGATAGTTTACTTCTTATAAAGTTTTCTATTTACTTTCTTGCTAAAACTTGATTAAGTGTTGGATAACTCGCAAGTGTTGGATAACTGCACACTCTTTGGGTTAAAAATCGTCCAGGCTTGCAAGAAAATCAATTTTAATGGAGAAGATTCCTTATTTATTATAAAGTTTTCTATTTATTTACTTGAGAACTGTTTAGATTCTAAAACTAAATTAAGTGTTGGAAAACTCGCAAAGTGTACAATTTCAGCACTTTACAACTTCGTATATACACTCTTTCGGTTAAAAATAGTCCAACAACTATTAATAAAAAAGTTATATATATATTTTATAAAGTTTTCTATTTCGACTTTTTCAGCTGAAGCCTTGCATGACCTGTAAAATATTCCTGCACATGATTTTACATTTAATTCTTACTTCGAAAACTGGGAATATATAAGTTTTATATGTCTCAGGGCAATAATTAAAATCCCCCCAACTAGTATATTTTAAAGTTTTTATTAACTATAATGTAAGTCAAAGTTTCAAGAAATAAGTTTTTACCAAATATCTTTCAAAACCAGAAATCGGCTGTCAAACACAGTTGAAACCCTGAAAAATGGGTTCATAATGAGTTGTAGCAAAAGACTTGAATAGCATAAGATGATTTTGTTGCCCAAAGCTAGCTAAACTAACGGGTCAAGGGTCACGGGTTGAGCTGGTTTTGATCTTTGCAGCGAAATAATTGCCTTCAAAAAATGTGCACATTTGGCTAATCATTAAATGCGTACCCAAAACTAAGTGTGTGTGTGCTTGTGTGTGCGTGTGTGTGTTGTGAAAATGCGTTGAAAAATCTTCAATGAATTTTCTGGCCAGAAAAAAAGTTGTTGTGATTAGGCAACAGGCGCGCTGAAAGCCGCTTTAAATCATAAATTGAAACCACAGGAATGCATATTAATATGCAAAGCACGCCAAGCCAAGGCTGAATGGGTGTGCGGGAAGGGTGGTGAATGGGTGGGTGGTGGGGTGGGTGGGTGAGTCAACATAATGAATTATGCCACGCCTAACGAGGCAGCCAGAGCAGCCAGCTTGGCGCTAGAGTTGCGGCTCGGCTGCTGCTGCAAGAGAAATCCAATAAAAATTCAATAAATTCCGCACAATGCTCGTAATGTTGCCCCGGTGTCTGAGAGTGTGTGCGTGAGTGGGTGTGTGTGTGTGACTGAGTTGTGCTTGTGTGTGTGTGGGTGCAGAGCGAGCAGCGCTTGGCACGTGGGGTTAAACGAGCTGCCAGTCACGACACAGACACGACTTAGCCAGAACGTCTCACACACACACTTACGCACACACACACACACACACAAACATACACCTACTCTCTCTCTCTCTCGCTCTCTCTCTCTCTCTCTCTCTCTCTCACGCACACACGCGCTCAACTGACGTGCGTTTTTCTTTTCAATTACTTATGGCGCCTAAAAATAGGCAATGGCAAAGGCCAAGAAAATGTGACCGGAAGTCGCTGGCGACCCCAAGAAATATGGCGCAAAACACACACACACACACACACACACGCACACGATAAAAAATTAAATTTCAGCCGCGTGTCGTGTCTTTAATTGACGTCAAAAATAGGGTTAATATAGCTGACACAAACACACACACACCCACACACACACACACACGCACGCACCTAGTTAACTTTATAGAGATGCTGTTTCCTGCTTCCGGCCCGCTACCCCGCCTCCTCCCCCTCCTCCCGGCCCCATATCATGTCAACACAGTCATCAAGCGACTGTCATTTGAAATTGCCGTCGACCTTTTTTGCCGCCGCTGCCTGGCAGGCAAATGATGCCTATTTGATCAGCAGCCGGGCAAAAGGATAAGCAATAAGTGAAGGACAATGAGAGGGAAACGAGAGGAGAGTGAAATGGCAAAATAAGATGAAAAATAAAAATAAACGATAAAGCAGCAAAAGAGCGTACGCGCCATAATGTTAAACGAGAATGCAAAGACGAAAGGCACAACATTTTTTTTTTGGTATATACCCTCGGCACACAAAAATGCCCCCAATAGGGTCGTCCCAGCGACAGCCAAGCCTTTGGCACTTTGGAGTCTAACCAGAGCGGCAGCTGCATAAATATGCTGTGTGCTCTATGATCCAGGTGCAATATAAAATAGAGGCTAGCTGGAATGCATATTATTATGTATTAGCGTATCTGATAGTCGAGCAGGCCCGACTAGAACAATGCTTTTTGTTGCAATAAAGTAAATATAAACTAGCTGGAATTGTAATAATGTCAGCTTTAGCGTATCTGCTAGTCGATCATGCCCGACTAGAACTTTGCTGTAAGTCGAAAGCAGAAGGAGATACTAACCTAAAGTCGTAAGCTCGGCTGGGTCAGCAGTTAACCAGGGACCTCTTCTTGTGCCCCTTCTTGCCATTCAGCAGTTGTTGTTGTTGTTGCTATTGTTGTTGTAGTTGTTGTTGTTGTTGTTGCTGCTTGTTTTGGTGTTGGTTTCTATGTAAATTTTGATGAGCACGCGGCAAAATGTGTGTGCAAATAAAATTAATACGAAATTGCCGTTTTTTTTGTTTTTTTATTTTAGTCGGATTTTAGTTGTTGCTTTTCTTGTTGTTGTTGTTGTTGTTGTTGTTTTTGGGCAAATTGGATATACGTTTTGTTTTAGTTGTGGCAGCAGTTAGTTAGTGTCTAGATTTTGATTGTTAGTTTCAAATTAAATTGTACGCAACATTATTGCTGTGGATTTCAAAAGCAATTAGTTTTGTCTTCAAATTAAATTAAAAAACAAAATGCATTTTTTTGCCGCAACTAATGAAATCAACGGGCACCAAATGCAAATTTCAACTCTTGTTTGTCAAATTGCCTTATAAATCTAAAGTTAAATTTAATTCCGTTTTTTTCTTTACTTTTTCTTCAATGTTGCAATATTTTATGATTTTATTACATGTTTGGTAATTTTCTTAATTTTATTATATATAATAAGTTTATTTTATTTTAATTTAATTTTTTTTGTTTATATTTTTATTTTTATTTAATTAATTTAAAGCCTTTTGTTTATATGGCTGAACTGAAATTTCAGATCAGCCTAGAAGTATGCAGCAAACATTTCTCCACGCAAGCTCGCGCTATATAAAAAGTGTTGCCTACTTTTCTGTGCCGCAAATAGTTTTTCGATTTCCATTTTTCGTTTTTCCTCATTTGTCCATCGTTTTTGCCCGAATTTTACGAGTTTGTTGTTTTATTAAAATAACTTATTCGCCACGCAAGTGTTTGCGTAAAATTTGCCAATTATTAAAAAAATTCAAGTATATTGCTGCACTTAAAAAGTTTACTGCAAACACACACACACACACACACGCACGCACACAATACGGACAGACAGAGACACACGAAGCCATAAATGCCAAAAAGAGAGAGCAAAAAACTTTTGCCGCAAAAATAGATTCCTACACTTCTGTTTTCGCTTTTGATTATAAGGAAAACTGCCAGCAAAACACGCGCGCGTTTTGCCAGCTCTGCTGCTGCCGCTGCCGCTGCCGTCGCTGCTGCTTCCTCTTCTTCTTCGTTTGCTGCCTGCCTTCAAAAAATAACTCTAGGATACACAAAAAGACACGCCGTGGCCATGTTGCTGTGTGCGTGTGTGTGTGTGCGTGTGCGTGTGTGCGTCTGCTTAGCACAAAGGTGAAACTTTGGCTCGCAGGACGACTTGCTGTTGTTGTTGTTGTTGTTGTTGCTGACTGGCTGTTGATATAATCATGAGAGCACGAATTTGGCTTAAAAAGCAAACGACAAAATTAACGACGAAACGGAATGAAAGCGAAACGCATAGACGAAAAAGTGCACGAGAAATGTGTATAAAAATACATTTCACTAATAAATTAAATGATTTGCACACTAACCCCAAACACACACACACATGCACGCACACAGGCACACACAACACGCGCGCAAAACTAACGAAGCGGCGCGGCAGCAGTGACAGCATAAAATACACATACATACGCACGCACACACACACACACACACGCACACACAGAGCAAAAGGACATGAACATAAATACATAAATAGTAGTATATTCGCTGCTTGATTTCTGCCTATTTTCGTGCACAGTGAGCGCCACGCCGAATATGTTGGTATGTGTGTGTGTGTGTGTGTGTGTCTATGTGTTTGCGTGGGTGTGGGAGTGGGAAGTATTAATGCCGCTGCCGCTGCCGCCGCCGCTGCCGTCGCCGCTGCCCGCCGTAGCTTAGCGCGCAAAAACCGACAGATACACGAACATTTAACACCCAAAAAAATGCGTGGCGCATGTTAAAAAGGGAGCAAGCAGGCGGTGACAGCAGCAGCAGCAGCAGCAGCAGCAGCTAAAAAGTAGTAGCCAGTTTATCCCCACGCCATTTCAACACGATGCGACTTATTGCACGTATATTATTTATTGCAATTTAATTTGATTTTGGCTCATCTGGGAGCGCACAGGCACTGGTCCACTTTTTTCATTTGTATGTATTGGTGTGTGTATATTTTTGCTTTTTTTTTGCTCTTCTTTTACCGCACATCGATTTCCTGGCGCGCTTTTGTACCGCACACGCTTATATCCTGTACTCAACTGAGGAAGCCTTTTTTATGTCAAGTGAGCAGGATAACCGACGGCGAGTACGAAAAAGCTTGCGCATGTCGCGGCCAACATCAAGTGAGTCGCAATTTGCGCGCAGCCAACTTCACGGCGCTTAAACAGCGCACAGTTGCACAACTGTTGCGCTGTTTGCTTGAGCGCGCAATTTGAATATGCTGTGTGGATTCAAACTCATTGTCTTAATTAAAAATGCCAGTATTTTATATGTTAATAGTTTACTTAAGGCTTTAAATTACAAATTTACATGCTTATTTAATGACATACATATGTATATGTATAAAAATCAGTTATATAGACGCTGTTACAACCGCAACATCAACAACAACGTCACGGATTCGTTGAACATTTAAGCAGGCATACGATAAACTTAATTATGTGTCATCATTCACTATAACTATACAAATGCGGGCTTTCATCCATTATCAACATCATCTATAATCAACAAGTGGGTGCTTAAAATGTCGCATGATTACGTATAAAGTAGACATCGTATTCCTTTTCGATCCATTTGATCAGCTTGTCCACATACTTGATGACCGTCGGCTTGTCCACAATGGACTCGAAGACCGCATAGAGCTCATAGGTTGCGGTTACCCAGGCGAGCACCACCTCGCGCTCCTTCACCTCGTAGATGAGCTTCAGCGGCCGCGAACTGTTGTGTATGCGATGCAATAGATCACAGTAGATGGCTTCCAGGCGCTCGAATTCGGCCAGCGATTTGTAGGGATGCCTAAGCATGGGGCAGAGCAGCTGCGCGGTTGCCTTTGGCTTGTACAGAAAGTGGCGCATCTCGGGCACGCTCATCACCTGTTGATACAGTTTGGCATTGTGGGTTTGCTGCAGCTCCTCATTGATTGCCTGCAGGCACAAATTTTTGCGCAGCTTCTCCGTGATCCGTCCCTTGGCCTCCGACAGCGTGTGAAACGCATCCTGTTCCGTAGACATAAGCAGCAGGCATGCCGGACAGTCATCGGCCAGGTACGAGACATGCGCATGCAAAAATCCATTCATATAGAAATTCGGCAAGCAAATGGGCGTCCAGTTCTCGGAGTTCTTAAACGATTCGGAGCACTCGATCAGATTGAATATCAAACGCAAATCCGCCGGATGTATCGAGTACTTCTTCATGCGCACCAATGCGATCAACCTGTTATTAGCTATTAGCACGGCATACATCAGATTCTTGATCTTCGAGCAGTTGCTCTGTATGGCGCTGACGATGCTGGAACGGACGGTCGTGGGCAGCGGCAAGACCCGTATCGAGTTGGTCAGAAATGTGAAAATGTTGTTGGAAACTGCAAGCAAAAGCACAAATGTTTAATGCCAGGAATACTTGGGTTCTATTCGTGGGTTTACCCCTGGCATTGCTGCTATCGTTGGCCAGCAGATTAAAGATCAGCCGCTCGCTGCCGGAGAGTAAACGTCGTAGATCAAAATTCTTGCGCTTTTCGAATATTTTGGAGATGTGCGAATTGGTCAGTGTGGAGAGTATTTGATAGTACACATCGCTGAAAGGTTAAGATTAGGTAGAATGATGAAAAAGCCTCGCAAGAATTGCAGCTCACCTCAGTTGGAGCTTCAGCTGCTGGACACTCATGTTGGTGCGGGATGCGGCCACCAGAATCAGCGAATTGCGATGCATGAAGGCGAATTTAATGCCGCCCGCATGTATGGACGTGATGGCATCCTGGCCGTGCTGCACGAAGCTGACCAAAGCCTGGATGACGCCAAAGAGCGTGGCCAGCTTGTTCTCGTTGCCGTGCAGCGAGTAGATGGGTTTGCCCGCCTCGCTCAATATGAAGATGTGCTTCTTTTGGCCACGCCACACGCTATCGTGCTGATAGTCGTGCAGCTCCTCGTCCAAGGCATTCGTGCTGCCGCTATCCTCGGTCTTGGCGCTCGTGGAGGTGCTCACCGCCAGCGACTCCACGGAGGCGGCCAAATCTCTGGATTGTCCTGGCGCTGTCTCAGAGTCGGGGCTCAGTGTGCTACGTTTTTGGGCACCCAGTTCCGACATAATACTATAGCCCTGTTGCTCGGCCTCGGCGTGTTCCGCCTCCTCCGGGTAGAGATCGCTAGTGCTGAGTTCCGCCTCATGTTCCGATTCACCCTCAGCGTCCAGGTACTCACATGTGGAGTTCGTATCGGATGTAGCCGCATTGGGGGGCGTCTGTTCAATTTCCATATTGTGTGCTAGTTTTGCACCGAGCCAAACATAAACATTATTGCAAATGACAAACGCGGACTTCTTGGTGGCCAACACAATTGTTACCGATAAGTTGCGTTTTTTTCGATTAACATTACTTTTTTGGTATTTATGTGCTTCGCGCGTGCGGTCACACTGGTTTCGTGTTATGAAAACAGCGGTCCGCTGCACGCGCAAGAAATGTTCCGAAAAACCTTCAATAGCCGTGAGTTAATTTAATTTAATGAATAATAAAAACTAAAAACATATTGCACACTTACAGTGCCACACTTCAGACAGCTGTGTGCGCTACCGGCGAGACTACAGAACACACAGGCCGCACAGGTGCCCGCGCCCGCCGAGCCGGAGGATATTGATGTCATCGAGCAGCGCATCCTGAAACATCCGGACTACTTTCAGGTGCACAATTTGTTTACTGTACGCGATCTGTTCAATGCGCGCGTGCACTTTGGCCACAAGGAGGGCTCCCTCGACGATCGCATGCGACCGTATTTGTACGGCAGCCGACTCGGGCACCTGATCTTCGATCTGGACAAGACGGCCGCCCATTTGCGGGACGCCCTCAATGTTGTGGCCCACATCGCCTTTCGGGATGGCATCATATTGTTCTTCAATCGCAATGCGTTGAACGCCCATCTCGTCGAACAGAAGGCCAAGGAGGCCGGCGAGTTCTCGCACACGCGCTTTTGGCGTGGCGGCATCTTTACCAATGCCAATGTCCAGTTCCATGCTGTCACCCGGCTGCCGGATCTGTGCATCTTTCTCAACACACAGAACAATGTGCTCGCCCAGCACACAGCCGTACGGGATGCGGCCAAAATGTCCATACCCACAGTCGGCATTGTCGACAGCAATTGCAATCCCAATCTGATCACCTACCCGGTGCCGGGCAACGATGACTCACCCGCCGCCGTGGAGCTCTACTGCAATCTGTTCAAGGAGGCGATCTGGCGCGGCAAACGCAAGCGACGCGAGCTGCTGGGCCTGCCGCCCCTCGACGAAGCCCAGCTCAAGGCCGGTCGCAGTCGCGCACCCAAAGCCAGCCAAAGCTAAGCTTAATATATAGTTATACATTTGTATATGTTGAAATTATAAACAAATTTGTATTCGATGAGGATTTTTGTAGAGCTTTCCAAGGAAATCCGTGACTCCATATACCCTACAAGCCCCTGTCCCTTTAATAAGGATTGTCCTCAATATCGTTGACTCCGCATCTCGAGAGTCAAGCTAAGCCTTGGTATAAGTTATTATTTTATTAATTTCTTTACAATCAATAGCGAAAGCTACTAAGACAACGCTTCCACATTGCTTATCAGCATTAATCATAATTATTATTATTATTATATTTATATATATATAACTAGGTGTAGCTCTCGCTCCAGGGCGTTGTCGTCGCAGCCTTCTAGGGTGGCAGTAGGGTGCCTCCTTTGATGAAGCTGGAGTTGTAGCTCGTGTAAAACGAGCTGCTGCTGTTGCCGCTGAGCACGCCGAGGGCGCCGGCACCGCTGCTGCTGTTGTTGTTGTTGTTGCCGGCGGTGTCCTGTCCGTAGGGATTGCTGCTGCTGTAGCCAAAGTAGCCGCCGCTCATGGGCGGCGCCGGCAGCTCCGAAAACTGTCCCATGGCCGGCACTGTGGTATGTTGGATGGGCGTCACGCTGGCCACATCGCCAGGAACACCGCCTTTGATGGCGCGTCCCGTGGCATAGGTTGGATGGCGTACGGGCGCAACGCCACGTTGAAATGTTTTTGGTTCGTTGTTGCCCTTATTGAGCCAACCGGCGTTCACGGGCTTGCGTACAAACACCTGACTACTCTTGCCGTCGCTGGTGGTGACTTCAGATTTTTGGTTACTCTGCTGCACCCACTGCTCGGCATGCTTAATGGTAAGCATTGCCTTGTGTGCGCCAATGTATTCCTCGGCTTTCTGCAGCCGATCCAGCTGCTTTTCGTCCAGCTGATCGCGTGGCAATTTGCTGAGACGCTGCACGGTGCGTTTCCAATTGTGGAATTCACGATTCTTGAACGGCTTCATGGCCTGACGATATTCACGCCACTGGCGCTGACGATCCTCTTTGGTGCCCGGCGGTGCATCCTCCAACGGGGGCGGTGCTTCCGGTCGCTGTATCCACTTGCCGTCGATCTGCACAAAGGTGTCGCCGCCCTTTTTGATCTTGATCAACTTATTCGATTTGGTGGATGTGGAGCTGCCGCTGTTGTTGTTGTCTCCAGGTGGGGGCGGTGGCGGCATCAATGCCGCATCCAGCAAAGCATTGCTGACATTGCTACCGGCATTGTTGTTGTTGTTGTTATTGCTGTTGCTCGTTTTGTATTTCTTGTGCGGCTGTTGGTTCTGGTTGAGGTTGTTGCTTTTATGTTGTCGCTGATTCGCCTGCTTCTCCTTGGGCACCAGATTCCATAGGCTCGGGCACTTGGGCATGGGCGGCTGTATGGGCGGCGGTCGCAGCTGTGGCGACATCATGTCCTCCCAAAACGGTGGCGGCTGCAGCGGGCGATGATTGCGCGGGCCCGGCCCCGGACCCATATTGCCCATATTATTGCCGCCCATATTGCAGTTTGGCGGCATCATTGGACCGGGGCCAGGTCCACAAGGGCCAGAGCCAGGTCCACAGGGACCAGGGCCGGGTCCACAAGGACCAGGGCCGGGACCAAAATTGCCAAAGCCCATGGACATCAGGGGAAAAGGCAGCGGCGGTGGTCGGCTGAGCGGTGGAAATGAATTATTATTCATGTTGCCATTGTTATGATTATTATTGTGATTGCGCTGGTTGCCCTGCAATTTGTTGTCATTTTTATGGATTATGCGGCCGTTGCGCATTCCTTGTGCAACCCCTCCTGGCTCCTTGGCCTCTTTGCTCTTCTTCCAATCGGCAAAAGACATTTGCAGCGGCTTTGCGCTGATATCTTTATCCGAATCCTCACTATTTACCGCCTCAGGCGGTATCGCTTCCTCTGTGGCTGAATTTTCAGCCATCATTTATGCCGTTTTGTACACAAAAAATGAACTGAAAATCGAACAGCGACCGAGAGATTTGAGAAAAAATTTGTGGAACTCGACCGATATTTAAGTTTCCGATTGGCCAGGGCTACTGGACAACCCCAACTGTAATAATTGCCAAGTTGGCAGCGCCACATTGGCAAACTATCGATATTTTGATTGCTAGCGATATATATTTCATAAAAAGTCATCAAAGAGAAGGAGAATAATTTATAAGTCACATTTTTAAAAATGTAAGAAAAAAATAAATAAGCTGGCTAAGTTGCATAAATTGTCATTAGATTGATAACATTAAATTGGCAGAACCAGCGCGTTATAACCAATCGATAGCGCTTGGCTTTAAAGTATCGATAGTACCGATGACTGTCTTCCAGATCTAGTAGTCGCAGAGATTTTTTTGGTAAGCTTTCATATAGCTATTTCGTCAAATTAAAACAGACTAGAGTGAAAAACGCTGCGGAAAGTAAATAACATATCGCATTGTGTAACGGCAACATTAATTCGCTAAAGATTATTCCCATAAAGCAGCCTAAAGGTTGCTGCAGCAAGTGTAACGCTGCTGCGCAGTCAACGCGTAGTTTCCGAACCATCGACTAGCGCTGGCACATACATATTATTACTTAATTTCGAACAAAAATCAGTGAGAAATGTACTTTGTATACTAACAAATATACACGTTATAACAAATTTTGTGTAAGTTCTGGTGCAGTGTTATTTGGCTTCTGGCGTGAACTGTTGCGAGCTGATTTAACGGCACACGCCTTGCCCTACGCCCCAGGCGACGCAAACAGCGCTGCCAGCGTCAACGTCGCTGCCGCAGCGACAGTCATATTTGTTGTTGCTATTCTCGACATATGATTCAATAAGTGGGCAAGATCCGCTGCTCGCACTGACAGTTTTCTTTTTTTTGTTGTTGTTGTAATATTTGTAAATGCTATTTAAAATCCGAATCTCTGTGTGTTCTACGCCGCAGCATAGAAACGAAAGGCAGCGACAATTAGACGCAGCAGCAGCAACAAATGCGTGCTGCATATTTTTGTTAATGAAACTTAAATGCCGCGCACATACACAACACACACACACACACGCACACAAATGGCCATTGTGCCCGTTTTATGCAAACGATTTTGGAATTTGTGTGCGCAATTATCATTCGAATAATTCGCAAATGATTCACAGCGGCGCTTATTAATTAGCCTAACGCTGAAAATGCGCTAAAAGCGTTTTCTATTTTGTTTTTTTTATTTTTTTTTGGCTAGCTAAAGTGAGCAGCACTGATATAAATCATAAATCTAATTTTATCAGCTTTGGCCTTACGGCTCTTATCACAGTTGCAAATGATACACACAGTGCATACATTATCCACATATATGATGTGTGCCCATATATCTACATATGTGTGCGTGTGTGTGTGTGTGTGTGGATCAACAGTTGCGTCGCCATTTGCAGGCAAAATACCGCTAGTTGCGCAGATTTGTAACAGTCAATATCCCAAACGTTGTCAATAGATATCGATATCGATAACAGCCGAAGTTCGATAGGTTAACTGAAGTTCAATTTGAAAGTTAGATTGTGCATGAATTGAATTTTTTAAGACCTATTTTATTAACTATGATTTATAGAAAAAGAAATCATCTCTCTTTTGAATTTGCTCTTAGCTTCTATCGATATCGATCTTCTTTTCTTTGTTTTTTTTCTCCAAGTCCATATTTTGTTTATAGAAAATTGATTTAGAAGTACCATATTCAAACTAATTTCTAACCTATGGTTTCTATTGGAGCCCCCTTTTGGGTGTACATTGTGCCGATTTGTTTTTCTATCTTTTGTCATCTTTCTGTTTCTTTTTGCAGGGGGAGGTGCGGAAACGCTTCTACGACTTCTTTTACACACAATTTTCGCAATACACACACATCCACAGCAAGCAAACGAACGAACTAAAAAGAAAATAAAAACTGAGATTATAAAACAGAACTTTTAAGCCAACAACAACAACAGCCACTAATCGAAACCGGGCTAAAAAGAACAAGAAAAGAAAAACAAAAACAAAAACAGACAACATGGCTCACACACATCTGGCCAGGGCGGTCAAAAACATCGAGGCGCCGCGTCCGCTCAAGACACAATCGCGTTCATCGCTGAAGAACAGCTACCTGGTAATCGAGGAGCTGATTCAGTTGATCGACAATGTGACTGTCGGTCTGCAGTCATGCAATACGACAACCGAATCGATAACGCTGCTGCTGCATAATTTGCGGGTCCATGGGCCGCAGCTGGAGGCGGTGTCCAAGGATACGCTGGATCGTGCATTCGTTGTGTTTCGCAATGCTTCGCAGGACGAACGTCTGAACATAATGACACGACTCAAGCTCCTCGAACTAATCGAACTGCGGGCCAACAGCTGGGAGGATAAGGACACAATCGCCTATTACAAGTCCAAACAACAAGTGTCCAGCGTTGAGGTGCGTCAGTTGTGATAATTTAAATGAAATTGTATAATAATTATTCACATACATTTTGCTGAAGCGGCCAACACAGCTGTTGCCCCAGGGTATAACCAAAGACAATATAAACACTAAGATAAGTAAGGCCCAAAATATCTAGCCTGGCTTCTTATCTGGCTTTTCCAGCCGACTGGCTGTTCGTTTTCGAAAAGCCAGACGAACGAATGCCGCAGTCGCGGCTTATTATTGGTTATATTGTCTTTGGTATAACACAGAAAATGGACGCTGTAATCTCTACTTATTTCGTTGCTTGACGCTTATAATTCTCAACCAGTTAAAGCATTGTATATGCTGCTGTGTTTTATACCCTGTTATTGATTGGTTATTGTTATTGTCACTTATTAAATTTGATTTACTTTGCAGCTGCCCGCTGAAACATATCAACACGATGCTGCCGGCGTCGTTGGCAACCAGCAACAGGCCTTTCTGAGCACCTCCCCCACATTTGGTGTCACCGGCTCCGGTTTGGGTGTACTTGTTGGCGGCGCGGCTGCTGCTGCTGCTAATGCGGCTGCGTTCAATGCCGCAACCGCTGCTGCCGCCGCACAGGCAGCGGCCATTGCCGCCGTGGGCTCACCCAACCAACAGCATCTGCTGTTGCCACCCGGTGAGGTTATACGCAATTCGGGCAAGTTTCCGAAGCCAACCAAAATTCCGGGCAAGACCTATTGCAAGGACGAGGTGGTCATACGCAACGCCGACTCTGGCAAGGGTAAGTATATCGGTTCGGGTGCTGCCGACAACCGGATGCGCTTCCAACATTCTTATGTCTTACTAAATAAACTCAAATAGTTATGGGCATTAAGGGCCGACGCGTACACATGATCGAGGAACTTAGCGAAACTATAATATCCTTTCAAAGAGGTAAAACAAAAACGATTGCAAAAATCCTACAAACTTCATGCGCCTTTCCAACTTCTTCTCGAAATTCATAACTCAAATACAAATTTCAAAAATTTTAAATCTAATGGTCAATTTTTCATATGCACACACACACACACACACACATAATGTATATATATATAATATAAATACACGCACACAAGCACGCCCGCACGTTCTCAGCTCAAATTCTCTCATTGATTTGCTTGATTGAATTTTATTTTGTTTACTAATCGTATCACAGCATGTAAATATTTATTTATTATTAATAAAATTTAAGATTTTTACAAAATTTATTTATTAATATTCAAATAATCTTGTATGCAGTCAACCCTGGCGCCAAGGAACGTCTAGTGCAGATTACCGGACCAGCTGAAGACAAAATTAAGTAAGTCTCAATTCATATTTAATAATCATTTATTTTTTGTTAGTAAACAATGAGTTTGCAAAATTAATGTGCTTAATTTTTTCGCGCTTGAGGCTAAAAGGTCTCTCAGTTTGGCGTTGCCACACTATTGAGTGTTGCCATTGATTAAAGGCATTGCTCAGCTGCATACCCTGCTTAAAGCTGACTTGAAATTTGGCGTTGCCACTTTATTGCAAACGTTTTCGTTGAAGTAACTGTTTTTTGCGCTTCATTTTTAATTTGTTAATTATTGCGAAATCTATGCAAATTTTGCAGCTACGCCAAGCAATTGATGGAGGATACCATACGTCGAAACGCTTCGCCGGTGCGCCTAGAGCCAGCACCATCAGCTGGCGGCACAGGCGGCTCCTGTTCATCGCTCAACTCCTCCAATTCGGATGACGCCGTTGCGGTGCAGCCGCGCACGCCCGGCGCCAGCAGCAGCCTGTCCAATCGCTTGAGCTTCAATTCGGCGCAGAATTTCATGACCGCCACGGCTGCGGCCCATCAAATGTCGCAGCACCATCAACAGCCGCAGCAGGCACAGCAGCAGCAGCAGCAGCAGCATCATCATCATCACCATCATCATCAGCAGCAGCAGGCTGCCAATGCGGCTGCTGCGGCGGCGGCTACAGCTGCTGCCGGTAAAGTTATGCGTCCCAATCAGCAGCTGCTAATGCATTCATATTCCACAAACGATGCTTCCGTAGGTGAATACAAATTCACGGTCAATGTGGGCCAGCATCTCATCAAGATTACGGGTGACTGTTGCGAGCTAGTCCGTGTAAGTAGCCGGTTGATACTATATTGGGTTTAATTCTAATACGAATCTAATTGCAGGTGGCCAAACTCGTCTTGGACGACTATTTCAGCAGCTCCGAGTTCTTGGCTTCCATGGAGGCGGGCGCCGCTTTTGATGGCACTTCGCTGGTCAGTCCGGTGACAACGCCCTCCACACCGCTGCCCGGCTCTGGACCACCGCAGTTTATGCTGAGCAACGCGCTGCCGCTGGCCGATAGCGGCATTGGTCTCAACTATGCGGCTGGACAGGCCAACAATAACGGGGATGGCGATGATGAAGTGTTCGCCGAGTCCAATGGCAGCAGCAGCAATCAGAATGGTCTGGCGCGATCGCGTCGCAGTCATTTCTCACGCAAGGAGTCCACGCCGGAAGTGAAGGCAGCACGCGAAAAGCTCGAAGAAGACGGCGCTGTTAATCTAAAGACGAATAACTGTAAGTAAGCGGGAGAAGTGTGCATGGAGCCGAGGATCAGCAACAGAAACTGGAAAAAGTTGCGAAGATTATCCAGTGAAAATAGGGCACACGACAGAAGGAGGCATATCCGAACCTTTAAAGTATTTATAGACACGTCCGTCTGTCTGTGCTTATGTCTGCTTCCATCCCATTGTACACCACGCCCCGAATATGTTTGTAATTCAGATTTAAGTGCTTCCTCTAAGTCGGTCCTCTTCCGGCTGAAATACTCTTACCTGCTTTTAATATATTTTGCAATTGCAGCACGCGTCTCATATGATATTGAACATTTGATGTACTATTCGAAGAGTCCGCATGCCTGGGCGCTGCCCATCGAGTGGCTGAAAATGCTGGAGACTGTGCCTTCGATACTACGCAATAAGGTAATTCCCCCAGTTGAGATGCACTCAAATGCTTCTACTGCGGCCGGTGCTGGTCGCGATATCATTTTTGCACATAACTCATCATTAACAACAACTAGTATTACCACAACAACAACAACTACAACAACATCCACAGCAAGTAACGGAGTGGCAGCAGTCAATCAATACCCCATTAACGAATGTGATCCCATTAATAACATGCCCAACGCTAGCAATCATAACTATGTAATTAACAAGCAACATATATCATACGAACGTGACAGTAATCGCAAGCCATCCTCTGAATCAGATCGTAAACTATATAACAAGCAATTGCAAATCATAACGAATACAATGGGCGCAGCTGCCATAGCCGGCAAGCGGCAACAGCAACAACAGCAGCAGCAGCAATCACAGCTGAGGGCTATATTTCAGCGTTATAGCGAGAACGACGAGTTCTCGCTGGCCATGTGTGATGTCTACTCCGGCGAGGAGCTAAACAACAATCGTGCGCTTATTTAAAACTAATCTAAACTCAACATTTACGCAGCTAATGATAGTTTGGTATTTTTGACCCAAACAGATATAAAACATTGACAAAAAAGAAAAACAATTATTAGAACTTAAAGCAATACAAAAGCAATCCACAAAAGCTGTATGCTCAGTATTATTATATTATAATTAACGAAAGCTAAGCCAGGCAACTATTTGCTAGTCCTAGACACTAAACACACATTATGTTATATTTAAATACTTAAAACAAAAAGCATTTACAAATTCATTTCGTAACTTTAAAATGGAATCTGTATTTTGGCTGTGAAGCAGATTTAGTGTTCGCTAGAGTTTAAAACTAAAAAAGTTGCCGGTCAACCCGTTTTGTAGTGCCCGGACAAGCCCACATTAACACCCACACACACCCACACATACACCCAACACCCACACATACACCCAACACCCACACATACACCCAACACACACACACACCTTCACACGCATTGTAATTTAATGTTTAACAAGACTAATAACAATTTCAATTGCAACATTTAGGCTTATATGTAACCTAGCTGTAAGCGTTTTTTCCATACATAACCCATTTAACTTTATATATATATATATATTATATATACATGCATATGTAAAATAAAATTTGACTTGCAAAGTCGCAGCGCTTGGCTTTATCTATGTGTACATACTATATTTAACACACACTCGCCATAAAATCACACACACAACACACACAAACACACACATTTGTTACTGCAAATAAGGTAAGAACTGTGTATCTATCGATTTATCTTATTTGCTCTTTAAACATTTACCTAAATCTCTATGTCTTATTTGTGCAGGATCTACAGGATGAGAGCCAGCGTTTCGATGGAGAAAAATATCTGGCCAGCATTCAAAGTGCCGCCAAACGAACTATTGTGGCCGCCGACGATACCGAAAATGTGGATGAATAACACACTAGTAGAAGGAAACGTAAAAACAATAACCTAAAATATAATCAACGATTTAGTTATTGTTAAAGAATAGTAACAAAACCAACCCGACAATAGCCAATCTTTATGTATGGACAGTTGTCTGTTTGAGAGACTCAGCTTAATGCAAAATATTGCAGACTAACTTTCAACTTTCTGTTTTTGTACTATGCTTTTAGCTTTAGCGTGTCACGTACATTTCTTAATATTATGAACGACCAAAAATGAAAAAAAAAAAACAAAATTTCTATGAATTCTAAAAACTAACTTAAGTTAGAAGCTTTATAAAAGAAAAACAAAAACCTACGACGATCTATATGATTAATTGAAAGCCAGCAACTTTCTAACGTTGCTCAAAAACGATAATTATTTACTAATATATATAATATATACTTGCTATAATAATAACTAAATGCAACTAATTGATGGAACGCTCGACGGAATCACATTACGAAAAGCGGTTCGAACATTAACGGCCAAAATGAACGCAAATGCATTTTTATTCAACTAGTAAAAAAACAAGAAACAAACAAATATTTCATATGAATCTAATTTCAATCATCCTACTTTTGTATTTAGTTAACTATTCTCAAAAAAAAAAATATTGATCATTTGTCGTATATTTTGAAATTTTGTGCAATATCATTTAAAAGAATTGTATTTGAATTTTCTCTAGTCCAATGCTTATCTTGATTTTTGGTTTCTTTATTTAACACACCAAAACAATTTCTTTTGGAATTTCTGTTTATGTTTTAGCTAATTTATTTAATTTATTATAAATTATATAATTTCGACAAATGAAAATCGTTCACATATATGCAAAATACAAATAAATTGAATAAAGATCAAGTACATTTGTGTATTTTTAAGTGGATATAATAAAATATTAAAATAAGTCACAAAATTAATTATACACAAATATTTTAGGTAAAATCTAAGAAGTTTAATCAAATTAAGAAGAACTTCCCTTTTAAGAGCTCTTTAAACTTTATTATGTCAGATTCCCTCACAGTTTTTGGGATTAGAATTCAAGAATAATCTTTGGCTTAAAAAAAACACCCAACTTGCTAGTTATGTATATTTTATTCAACATTTATCTTTGGCAACGGGCACAGAATACATTTATACACAAAAATAACAACATAAATTACAATCACAATTATAACAATAGTTTGCTGATATGTTAGAGGGGTATCAATTGTTGTTAACATATAAGTTAAACAATAACTTTGTGCAATTAGTTCGTAAGATATGTGCCAAACACATCAAGTTAAAGAGATAGTTATATAGACGGTAAACAACATCACATTGGTTAATCGTACATATTTTTGCTATGCATAGTATATATCTATATAGATATATATCTATATAGTTAGTTGCCCAATAGAGGCCGTCGATCCGTAGTGCCGCGTTTAGTGAGGCTTTTGTTGGCATTTGAAAGAGAGATTTTACAGAATTAGTAAAATGCTAGCTGCTCAGCGATCTATATAGTAATACACGCACAATATCAATAAACACCAATACAACATGTACTATAGTCTGAACACCATAAACTAGATTCAATATTCACGTACATGGATGTATGATATGTGGCACGCTGTGCCGGCGACATGTTCAGATTGCCCTGATACTTGCGATCGTAGGCCCAGATAGCGCACGTTGCCAACAGGGAAACTGTAAGTGAAAGCCATATATTAATTTAAACAATTAACTAGAACAGACAACACTTACTCAGTAGGAACAGTATAAAGAGCAGCTGCAGCCAAAAGTGGCTGCCCCCGCTGCTGTCCACGATGAGGCCGGCGACAATGGTGACCACAGCGAGGCCCAGATTTTGCACCGATTGGCAGCTGTAGTATACGTAATAGAGGTTTAAAATAGAATACGGATAGAAGTAGGATTTCCACTTACAAGCCGTAGGCCGTGCCCAGCTGATATTCGGGCACAATCAATGCCACCAAGGGCCACAAGCTGGCGGCCAGCATCGAATAGGAGAGGCCCATGATGGACATGCCGATGTACGGATTAAGCTGACTGAAGGTGAGCAGCAGGTGCGAGACAAGCGTGGCAATTGTGGCCACAAATACCCAGGAAACATTGCGACCCACACGATCGATGATAAAGCCAAACAGGGGCGAGGCAATGGCCGAGATCAGATACACAATCGAATTGACATTGTTGGCCTGTTCGGGCGTCAAATGGAAATTGGATGTGAAGAAGGCCTGGCCGAGCGCCACAAACGGAAATATGGCCACATAGTAGGCCACACACACCACCGATACCATCCAAAAGTCCAGCCTGAAGGTGATAATGTCGCTCAGCTTGGCAATCTCGCCGCCGGGATTGTTATTGCGCTTCAGTATGCGCTCGGCGCGCTTATCCATCCAGCCTAAAGAAAAGGAATATCAAGTGTAAGGTCGGGAGTACACGACTGCTAGATACCCTGCACACAGCTAAGCTAACCTTCTCCTTAATGGATCGGAAATGTCAACCCGGCAATGTGTACAGGGTATATTTAACAAAATTGCACAGCATACCCAATATGAGAGTGCACAGCAGCGACATGACACAGGTGCTGGCGGCCAGAAAAAGGGTGACGCCCAGGCCCGTATAGCCCGCATACGATTTGGAGACATAGTTGTAGACCGGCTGCATGATCCAAAAGTTGACGGTGCTGCCAAAACGTGCCACAGACAGCTGCAGGCCAAATACCATGTTCAGCTCCTTGCCCTTGAACCACAGGACCGCATAGCTATTCTGCGCGACGGCCAGGGACTCGGCGCCAATGCCAAATACAAAGCGGCCGACAATCATTAGCCAAAATTTGCCCAACAGCCCGCCCGTGGCAAATATCAATTGACCCAGGAGCACAATAAGCATGTAAATGATTGTGCCCAGGCGTATGCCAAAGACGCGATCGATGAGAAAGCCGCCGAGAAAGCACAGTACAATATTTGGCCACGAGTAGATGGAATAGATGAACGTGAATTCGGTGGCATTCAAATTCAGCTCCTTCTGGAATACGTCCTGCAGCGCGCCCGGATTGTCATAGCAAAAATAGGAACCTGGTTTGAGAGCACAAAGAACAATGAGCTCATGTTGCCATCGAGATTGAATTGAAGATTGAAGCCTTACCAAAGCCCAGCAGGCACATAAAGACCAGGGCCAAAAAGCGATGGGGCGTACTGGTGGGCGCACAGCAGCCCGCATCCTTGGGCACAGCCAGCACGGTGTCCCGTGTGCTGCGCCTACGCACAACGGGCCTGGCCTCATCCTCGCCGCTGCTGCTCGATGCATCCACAATGGGCAGACGCTCCTCCCGCGACATTTTCACGGCAAAAACTCAGCTACTTTTGGGAGTTTCCTTTCCTTTCTTTACTTTTTGGCAAATGCCTGGAACTGCGGCTGGAACTGGGCACAGCTAAGTCTGGGTAGAGCCGCGGGCGGATTAGGGGGCGGGGTGGCTGCCCTCTATTGTTGCTGCTTATCACTAGCCCACATCGTGTGTCTATGTATTTGTCGTCGTTGTTGTTGCTGCTGCTGTTGCTTTATTGATTATTTCAGTGCACTATCGAGGCGTGTGTGGGCGTGGGGTTGAATTGAGATGAAAATGCGCTCGAGTCTTTAAGCTGCAATAAAAGAATGTGAAAATGGCATTATATAAAAATTTCCACAAACGCGAGTCACCCTGTGCGTGTGTGTGTGTACCGTTAGACAAACAAGCCAGATCTTGGTCACAGTTTGCTGGACTAACGTTGCAAATCCGTTGCTAATCAATTAAGTGGCCAGCATTGTGGGCGGCTTTATTGAAGCATTAAGCGTGTGACACCTGTGGTTTAAAATTTCGAAAAGTGAGATACACCTATTTGCGTATTGGCAGGCCCAGATAACATGTTTACATAGAAGGCACACATATGGCACACACACACTCACACATATATGTAGGTAGGATACGAAAACGTTTATCAGCGCCAACTACGCAAATCACACACAATAATTAATCAGTGTCTTTAGAATGCCGTCAGTTGAGTTTGTTTTTAAATTAGAATTAAGCGCGCGCGCCACATGATTCAAAAGCACTTGCTAAAACCCACAGATAACAAAACAAAATATGATTATTATGTTTGTGTTATTGTTATTGTTACAATTCAAAACAAACACATTCGATTCACACACACAGCAGCAGCAAAATCTATACACAGGCTCAACAAGTTGGAAAGCAAAATTCGAACGCTCAAGGAATTCCACCTCCTACCTGTTTTCCGCAAGCGGAAAAACTGAACTCAAGTACTTTTTTGTTTTCCCACCTAGCCTAGCGAGTAGTTCGCTGAACCAATCGATACCATTTGCGATATATCGATAACTAACATATGTAGTTACTCAGTCCAAAGCGAGTACATGACAAAGTACGCAGAAACAACAATTTCACAAATTATTTCGTTGGGACAAGGTTCAAATGTTGTGAATCACACAAAGAATAAACTCTGGCTGCCACGCAACAAGTAGGTTTATCATATCTAATATTTACTGTTTACTCGTAATGACGTGCTGTTCATCGTGTAAACTATAAATTTGTGTTACTATGAAACAATGTCATCGCAACAGCGCAAATTCATAGGGAAACAAAACGTTTCAAACAACACTGCAAGAACCGTAAATACAAACACGCATCTATTTTTGTAATGCCCACAACAGTCGTAACAATTGCATTAAGTGTTGGCTAAAACTACCGTAACATCCAACAGACAGGTGGAGGAGATGGCTGCAATAAAGGTGCGTAGCTAATGTTTTTCTAAATTTAAGTGCGTTGTAAATTTAAACGTGTATTTTTTTTTTTCTTCTATTTGTGCATGTGTGTATGTGCTGCAGAACATCGCGCTGGGCATTTTGTATGGACTGTGGGACAGCATACGCGGCATGACCCTGGTGCTTCACATAGACAACGAGGTGGCCAGACAAAATGCAGAATTGGAGACAATGCGCCAGCTGCGCAGAATGGATAGGGAGCAATATAGGCAGGCGCAACGTTCGCCCTCGCCAGTGCCCAGCTCGGCGGCGGCAATGATACGCGAGGAGTATGCCAAGCGTGCGGAGGCCAATACCGATGAGCGTACGCTGGAGAAGATATTCAAAAAGAAGCCCGTGGAGGAGCCGCAGCCACAGGCGTAAGTATGCAAATGTTGTTAAAACAACAAAATTGGGGTACTCTGGCAACTGCTTATGCTGTCATAACAAAGATAAAAAGTTATCGATAACAAATTATCGGACAACAGCTGTTTAGCGCGCCAGTTTTGAGCGAATCCTCACTAAAAACGGTTTCCTGAGTACCCCTAACAATAGCGCATGACTAATTGTATTTATTACGCATTTGCAGCGAGAAGAAAATCGCCAAGAAATTATTCAAATGCTGCCTGCTAAATGGCGGCTTCACCTGGCTCAGCATTGTGCTGTTCGAGAACGTGCTGCTGCCCACACTGAAATTCTGTTTGACCATCTTCTATGGCGCACAGTCCGATACGTTGTCCTTTGTCTGGAGCTGGCTGCATCCCATTCTGTCGCTGATCTTTGGCATGATGTGGGTGCTGCCCATATTCATGCTCTCCAAGATTGTCAGCTCGCTGTGGTTCGCGGACATCGCGAATGCGGCGTATCGTGTGCGCAAGGGTCGGCCCCAGTTGATACCCGGTATCAGTAAACTGGTTGCCGACTTCCTCTTCAGCATGGTCGTGCAAATACTGTTTCTGGTGCAGAGCATGTTGGTCAATCTGTTGCCAGTGAAATATGTTGGCTCCTCCCTGTGCTTTCTTCATTTGTGCCTGCTCTATTCGCTGTACTCCTTCGAGTACAAATGGTTCAACATGGGCTGGGAGCTGCATCGACGTCTGACCTACATTGAAAAGAATTGGCCATATTTCCTCGGCTTTGGCATACCGCTGACGGTGCTCACGAATATGTCCAGCTCTGTGATTGTCAGCAGCTGCATCTTCTCCATATTCTTTCCGCTCTTCATACTCAGCGGCAACGAGGCGAAGCCCATTGTGGACACCACGTAAGTAGCTACCATTTGAGCTGCAACCTCTGGGCTTAAGCATGTCTTACTTTTCTATTATAGTAACTTTTCGCTGCGCCTTTTCTCACCGGTGGTATTCATATCCAATCTGTGCTTTGGCGGCAATCCGTGGAGCAAAACGAATCGCCTTTTGGCCCTGCAACGGAAGCTGGCCGATAAGCAGCGCCAGTTGCAGCGTGAGGAGCTAATGCTCAAGCTGATGAAGAAACAGCAAGATATGCTGCAGCAGCAGCGACAGCACGAGGCGATGCGCGAGCACTCGCGCTCCCGGACACCGCAGCCGGGTCAGCCGCATCATCGTTACGCTCAGCCGCCGGCGTTCGATGTGTCGCGTGTACGTGACTCGTCGGCCTCGTCCACGCACAGCTCCAATGCGGCAACGCCGAGCAGCTTTAGGCCGCCGCCGTTCTTTGGAGGCGGCGCTGGTGGTCTGCACAGCAATGTGCCCCTGGTGCCCACACCTGTGCCCGGTGCGCCGCGCACGCCCGTCGTGATGCACGAGGAGTCGGGCCCAGATGACTGGAACTTGTGAGATTTTTGTGCACACGCACACACACACACACACACACACACAACACACATATACTTGACTACTATCATAAGGCATAGGCATTAGTATGTATGTATATATACCTATATATATTCAAGTACTGCGATCGAACTGTGTATGTTAAATTTAAATTTAGGTCTACGCATAATGACAATGCACGCTGGTCGGTAGCCGACAGCGCTGTCCACAACTGGTAGCTAACTTAATCTATTGTTTGTATCTTAAGATAAACACACGCCCAATCTGCTGACCCAGATTTCATTTGGTTACCATTTTCTCTCTCTGATTGGGGTATTCAACAGTTTCATAAATATGTAATAAAAATTTTTTGTATTTTCGTCGAGTGCTGCAAGTTTTATATAAAAAAAAACTGGCTTTCTTTATTTTTATTATTATGTACAGTCGTACCTCGCTATGACAAATTATAATGCAATTTAAGTTTAAAGTTGTTGCGCAAATTTAGCTTTTCTTTATGTATAATGTACAAACTGATTAAATGGTTTATTTTTCATTAGCTAAAGTAAACATTTAAGAAAATAATCATAGCTAATTATAAAGTAAATGCCTTTATCTGTTATTATACAGTCTCAACTTTAAATATCACAATTATCTATTCTTACGAAATGAAAAGAGAACTATTTTGAAAAAGTCTGAAACCTTTACAAGGGTACAACAAAATTATCGAAGGTTTATTTCATGGTTTTAAGCAGTTGTTTTTCTACATTTTGAATTGGGACTTGATTTATCTTAAAAGAGCTTTTTTTTTGGCTCTACTTAAAAATAATTTGCAGTTGCGATTTAAATCGTAGCCATGATAATAAAGCTGTTCGAAAGTCCTTATTATTCAGACAAGTTATTAAAAGCTAACAAATATTTTAAATTTCCTTATTTATATCAATAATTATGGAGTTTAAAGTTCATTGAAGACAAAACATTGCTAGCTTAAATAATAAATGACATGTTCGCAAATTCATGATTCTAATTTAACACTTAATGAAATAGATCTTATCATGATAAAAGCGAAAGTCACGGACTCATATTTGGCGCTCGGTGGAAGCATTGTGACAATCGTCCAAAGGCTGACCCATATCCGGTTCGGTTTTGGTGGGTGTCGCCAATTAGCGCCACAAACAATAGATTTGGCGGTCGGCTGAGGGCAGGCAGCCAATTGATTATCACCAAGGATACACACATGTCCACACAAAGCAGCAACACGCAGCGTCGAGTGTCAGTTCCCGATGGTGGTTCGTGCGGTGCGGTCAGCTTTTGGGTTGCCTGGAATATAATGGAGAAACGTTTTAGGACTTTGAAATATTTATGGTTGTTGTGGACATTGCTGCAAAGTGCACTCCATGTGGATATTGAAGCGCAGACGAGCCAGAATATCAATGTGTGTAAGTGCCCCAATCGATAGATGGCAACGGAATAGATAGCACACGGCTCTTGGGTAAACTAATTAAGCTGAACGTATAAGCTGGGCTGATTCGGGCGGGGTTTGTGCCCTGTGCAAATAGTCGAACTAATGCCGTGTGTGTCCTGCTCCACAGTTTTCATTAACGAGGTGGACAATGAGCCAGCGACCAAGGCCATCGAGGTGGTCCTCACCTATCTGAAGAAGAATCCCAGCTACGGTTTATCGGTGCAAATCGAGTCCATCGAGGCTAACAAAACGGATGCCAAAATATTGCTGGAAGCAAGTAAGTCTTTTATTAATTGAACATATATAGCTATATAATCCCGATCTTTTTCTCTTAAACACAGTCTGCAACAAATATGTGGCCAGCATTGAGAAGAAGCAAATGCCACATCTTGTGCTGGACACCACCAAGGCGGGCGTTGCCTCGGAAACGGTCAAGAGCTTCACCCAGGCTTTGGGGTTGCCCACGATCAGCGCCTCCTATGGCCAGGAGGGCGATCTGCGGCAATGGCGCGACTTGGACGAAGCGAAGCAAAAGTATCTGTTGCAAGTTATGCCGCCAGCTGACATTATACCCGAGGCAGTGCGCAGCATTGTCAAGCGGCTGAACATCACCAATGGTAAGCTTGCCCGACTAGCACATACCCTCTAACCAACATATAATCCTTAAATATATCTATCTGTTTTAAATTTGTCTAAAATTTGCACTTTGTGCGATTCGTATGCTTGCTAAAAATATTTATCGATATTCATATGTGAAAAGTTATCGATAGCTATTAGTCCTGCTCTTTTGTCGATACTATTTCCGTTATTTTCACTATTTCCGCCCGCCAGCTGCCATACTCTACGATGACACTTTTGTCATGGACCACAAATACAAATCCTTGCTGCAGAACATACAGACGCGTCACGTGATCACGGCCATTGCCAAGGATGGTAAGCGGGAGCGCGAGGAACAGATCGAGAAGCTGCGCAATCTGGACATCAACAATTTCTTTGTGCTGGGCAATTTACAGTCCATACGCATGGTGCTCGAGTCTGTGAAGCCCGCCTATTTTGAGCGCAATTTCGCCTGGCATGCGATTACGCAGAGCGAGGGCGAGGTCAGCAGCCAAAGGGACAATGCGACCATTATGTTCCTGAAGCCCATGGCGTATACGCAATATCGCGATCGCCTTGGTCTGCTGCGCACCACATTTAATTTGAATGAGGAACCGCAGCTGGCATCGGCCTTCTACTTTGATCTGGCGCTGCGCAGCTTTCTGGCCATTAAGTAAGTTTTACGGGATAAAATATCCGGGGGGGGGGGGAACTAAATGGAACAAATTGCCTATAACCTGAGCTTGGGGATATTTTATGGGAAATTTGATGGGAAATTCCATTCTCCTATAGGATTGTCGCAGATGATTTCCTCTAGAGTTGGGGATATTTTAGGGATATTTGATGGGAAATTCAATTCGATAGGATTGTTGCCGATGATTTCCTCTAGAGCTCAAGCTGCATATATTCCCGATACGCCAACTTTTATAATCTGAGCTTGGGGATGTTTTAGGGATATTTGATGGGAAATTCAATTCTCCTATATGATTTTTCAGATGATTTCCTCTAGAGCTCAAGCTGCATATATTCCCGACACACCCACTTTTATAACCCGAGCTTGGGAATATTTTAGGGATATTTAATGGGAAATTCAATTCTCCTATAGGATTGTTGCAGACGATTTCCTCTAGAGTTAAAGCTGCAAATATTCTCGTAACGCCCACTTTTATAATCTGAGCTTGGGGGTATTTTAGGGATATTTGATGGGAAATTCCATTTATAGGATTTTTGTAGCTGATTTCCTCTAAAGTAAAAGCTCCAAATATTCTCTGTATATGCGAATTGAAATAGACTTCCCTTATGATAAGTACCTTGTAATTAATTTATCCGTTATGTAATCCCCATGACAAATTGGCTTTGACAACATGTTAAAGGTATTGTTAGCTCTGGCAGGGAAGTAAACAAAATTGAGCCTACTTGAATTCTATTTTGGTCTTTTCTACTTTTAATTGAGCCTCCATATTATTGGTACATAATTACAGCAAAAGTTTTTGTTGTCTATTTTGTGGTCGAATCTAATTTCTTGTTATTTGTGGCAGAGAAATGCTGCAATCGGGCGCCTGGCCGAAGGACATGGAGTATCTGCGGTGTGATGACTTTCAGGGCGGCAATACACCTGAACGCAATATTGATCTTAGGCAATATTTTACACAGGTGTGTTTACACTAACTTGAGGGGTAGTCCCCCAATTATGGCTAATTATTGTTTACAACATTTTTGGTGCGTTCAAAGGTTAGCGAACCGACATCCTACGGCACTTTTGAGCTGGTCACGCAACCGCGCAGGCCCTTCAACGGCTTCAGCTATATGAAATTCGAAATGGACATCAATGTGCTCCAGATACGCGGCGGCAGCTCGGTGAACAGCAAATCGATTGGCACCTGGACGGCTGGCCTCGACTCGCCGCTGGTTGTCAAGGATGAGGAGCAAATGAAGAATCTGACCGCAGACACGGTCTATCGCATATACACGGTGGTGGTAAGACAATCTATATAAATGATTGATTGACTGATTGACTGACCGATTGATTGTTTGATTAATTGACTAACTGATGGGCCAGACATAGACCGTATCATCAGAGTTAAGAGATGATTAATATAAATGCAGCTGACTGATTGGCTGACTGACTGATTGACTGACTGACTGATTGACTGACTGACTGAATGATTGACTGACTGATGGGCCATAAACTGCCCGTAGCTTCAGAGTTGAGAGATGATTTATATAAATACAACTGACTGATTGGCTGACTGATTGGCTGATTGATTGACTGACTAACTGATGGATTGATTGACTGACTGACTGATGGAGGTGCACTTTTCACTCAAAGATGGGGTTTTAAAAGTTCGGAAAATTCGATAAAAACTCTCTTTTATGTATTTTGTTTGTTTTTCTTTTGAACTGGTTCAAACTTATTTGCCAAGATCTATTGTACATTATACTTTAGACGTATTTCACACTTTTCGGGATATCCACCTCTGTGGGTGAAAATTCGATTCAAAATTTCCCATCCCCATAACTCAGTCAAATCTCATCAGATTTTCATAAGGTTTGGCTTTTTGTAAATGGTTTTGCCTCTAAATCAACTTGGCATTAAAATCTGGCAACATAATTTTTGGTCGAAATTCATGTGTAAATCGTACCCCAAAATATCCCATATAGACATAGGTCTAAATTTCCCACCCCCATAACTCGGTCAAATCTCATCCGATTTTCATAAGGTTTGACTTTTTGTTTATGATTTGGCCTCCTAATCAACTTGGCATCAAAATCTGACAACATAATTTTTGGTCGAAATTCATGTGAAAATGGTACCCTCAAATATCCTATATAGACGCAGGTAAAACTTCCCAACCTCATAACTTGGTCAAATCTTAACCGATTTTCATAAGGTTTGACTTTTTGTTAATGGCTTGGCCTCTAAATCAATTCTGCATCAAAATCTGGCAACATAATTTTTGGTCAAAATTCATGTCAAAATGGTACCCTCAAATATCCTATCTAGACACGCATAGGTCAAAATTTGCCACCCCCATAACTCGGTCAAATCTCATCCGATTTTCACGAAGTTGGACTCTTTGTTTATTTCTTTTCATACCATTCCCAGCAAGCGCCCTTTATAATGCGCGATGAGACGGCGCCCAAGGGCTATAAGGGCTATTGCATAGATCTGATCAACGAAATTGCGGCCATTGTGCACTTCGACTATGAGATACAGGAGGTGGAAGATGGAAAGTTCGGCAACATGGATGAGAAGGGCGATTGGAATGGCATCGTGAAGAAATTGATTGACAAACAGGCGGACATTGGGCTGGGCAGCATGTCGGTGATGGCCGAGCGGGAAATTGTGATTGATTTCACGGTACCCTACTACGATCTGGTGGGCATTACGATTATGATGCAGCGTCCCAGTTCGCCCAGCTCGCTGTTCAAGTTTCTCACCGTGCTGGAGACGAATGTCTGGCTGTGCATATTGGCTGCTTATTTCTTTACCAGCTTTCTGATGTGGGTCTTCGATCGCTGGAGTCCGTACAGCTATCAGAACAATCGCGACAAGTACAAGGACGACGAGGAGAAGCGCGAATTCAATCTGAAGGAATGCCTCTGGTTCTGCATGACATCCCTGACGCCCCAAGGCGGCGGTGAGGCGCCCAAAAATCTATCCGGTCGTCTTGTGGCGGCCACGTGGTGGCTATTCGGGTAGGTCTGATTAGAATTAACACGAATTTGCAGTAAAATTTGCGATATGTATTATTTAATCGAGGTTAGGTTGGGCTAAAACCATCTTAGACTTATAATAATATGAGATTGTGGGTTTTAAAACGTTAACATTCAAATTAAATGTTATTTAACAGAGGCTTATAAGATGTTAAATTCAAATACAGAGCCTTTATTTAACAGAGACTCATTAGATGTTAGATTGAAACACAGTTGTGTTTATGAGATGAATTTATAAGAACATAATAGGATAAACGTTAACATTCATATATGATATGAAATTATAAGAAAATAATGGGATAAAACTTTAACATTCAAATTTTATGTTACTTAACAGAGGCTCATAAGCTGTTAGATTCAAATTTAAATTGTTTTTATGAGTTTTCAAAATATGATCCATTTCAATATTATAATTATGCCTTATGCCTTCTTAGCTTCATAATAATTGCCTCGTACACGGCCAACTTGGCTGCCTTTTTGACTGTCTCGCGTTTGGACACGCCCGTGGAGTCTCTGGATGATCTGGCCAAGCAGTACAAGATTCTGTATGCACCCTTAAATGGCTCCGCGGCGATGACCTATTTCGAGCGCATGGCCAACATCGAGCAAATGTTCTATGAAATCTGGAAGGATTTGTCGCTGAACGACTCGCTGACGCCGCTGGAGCGCTCCAAGCTGGCCGTCTGGGACTATCCGGTGAGCGATAAATATACCAAAATGTGGCAGGCCATGCAGGAGGCAGGTCTGCCGGCCACGCTGGACGATGCAGTGACGCGCGTGCGCAACTCATCGACGGCAACGGGATTCGCATTTCTGGGCGATGCCACGGACATACGCTACCTGCAGCTGACCAATTGTGATCTGCAGGTGGTCGGGGAGGAGTTCTCCCGCAAGCCCTACGCCATTGCCGTGCAGCAGGGCTCACATCTGAAGGATCAATTCAATAATGCGTAAGTTCGGCCGGATTCCTAATAAAAAAAAAATAAGAAACTTATTTCTCCAATTAACTCTCTTACAGCATTTTAACGCTGCTGAACAAGCGGCAGCTGGAGAAGCTCAAGGAGAAGTGGTGGAAGAACGATGAGGCGCAGGCCAACTGCGAGAAGCCGGAGGATCAATCGGACGGCATATCCATACAGAATATTGGCGGCGTCTTTATTGTCATCTTTGTGGGCATCGGCATGGCCTGCATTACGCTCGTCTTTGAGTACTGGTGGTACAGATATCGCAAGAATCCGCGCATTATCGATGTGGCCGAGGCCAATGCCACCCAGCCCAATCCCAAAGATGGCGGCAAGGCTAACGATGGCGTCATCTTGGGTCACTCGGGCGAGAAGTTCGAGAAATCGAATGCCGCACTGCGGCCACGCTTCAATCAGTTTCCGGCTACGTTCAAGCCGCGTTTTTAGAGGATCTGTAAACAAAAAGCAAATACCAATTCATTGAGAAATCGTCTACGTCTATAGCTTTAAGTAAAAAGGAAATTATTTTTCACTTATCTATGCACATGCAATCAATTAGTGTCAATTTTTAATAAATTCATGTGTCGTAAAAGCTATTACTTGATATGGGTACAGTTGTGCCAAAAATCACTCAAATATCTATTTTGAGGTTAGGTTATTTTAACATTTTTGTATTATTCACAATAATGTGCAATTAAGTCCACTAAAGTCCACCTAAATTTACAGAGCAGAACTGTTAACATTTAACAGTTGCCCTTGAAAATATCATTTGCAGATGCTGTTAAGTTTCGTAACAGAATTTTGCTTAACAGCGCACTAGCATACCTTTAACATTCGATGTTCAGCAGCTAATACATTTGCACTGCAGCCCTGGTTCGATACTAAGTAATCGATAAACTCATTTTCCATACACATCTCTCACACTTAAAAAGGCGGAGAAAAGTGTGAAAATTTGTCAAATTTTTCAATAAACAACATTGAAATTCATAAATAAAGCAAATAAAGAACGTGTTGCCCGCGTGTTAACCATAAACAATTTGCATGCGTCGTTTGAAGAAACTTGCGAAGAGTCACAGCGTGACGGGTACGCAAGAAAACGATGCAGCGGCGACGGCAACAACAACAACAACAGCGGCAGCTGCGTCCGATCCGGCGGCCCCGAAAGATGCCAACGGCGGGGGCGATACGCTACTTAATGTGGACATCTTTAAGCATTTCGACAAATCCGGCCGCAGCGAATTGTAAGCGAACTCTAATGTCTGTGTGCTAATAATTTGTTGATAATCATTTTTCATGCCAGCATAAAATACCTGAAGCAACAGCTGCAGGATAGTCCGGAGAGTCCAGTGTTCGACCAGCATGGCACATTCAAGCACGGCGTCTCGAATGCCATCTACGAGCTGCTCTGGCAGGCATTGCGCTACAAGCTCAAAAAGGATGTCGTGCTGCACGTGCTCACAGATGTTGTGGTAAGTGCAACGAGGCGGGCATCAAAATCAGCTTTATTCGAATCTGTCACATTTAGGCGCTGCACAAGGAGTTTCCCAGTCTGATACTGGACGTGGTCAACATACTGGACAGCGAAACGTCCTTGATGACCGAAGGTCTGCAGGAGGAGCGCCATGGTTTTGTGCAAATTGTCAAGGATCTGGACAAGGTGCTGCCGGAGAGCTTGCTCAAGGAGCGCCTGGAAATTGATACCTTACAGGAAGTCGGCATTGTCAAGAACAAGAGTTTCTACACGAAGTTTATCAAAGTCAAGACTAAGCTCTAGTAAGTGCGCATCATCAAAGTCCACATAAAATAAACCTTTAATTTTCATTTCCTTTTGCAGCTATAAGCAGCGCCGCTTCAACCTGTTTCGCGAGGAGAGCGAGGGCTTTGCCAAGCTCATCACAGAACTGAATCAGGACTTTGAGGAGCACACAACCCCCGATGCCATAATGGACATAATTAAATCCCTGATAGGTGAGTGCCATAATTTGCAGCCTTCTTCATGATCGTTGACCTTGTCTTTGCCTGCAGGCTGTTTTAATCTGGATCCTAATCGCGTGCTGGATATTATCATTGAATCGTTTGAGACGCGCCCCGATCGCTGGAAGCTTTTTATACCCTTGCTGCGCAGCTATATGCCCACCGGCGCCATCATTTGCGAAGTGCTAGGCTACAAATTCTGCCACTTTAGGGCAACGCGCACTCCGCGCTCCCTGTACCATGTTTGCGCTCTGCTGTTGAAGCACGGCGTCATCGAGCTGAACGATGTTTATGTCTGGCTAACGCCGAATGATGGCAGCATACGTGCCAACTGGGAGGAGGAGCTGGCCGAGGCGAGAGAAATGGTCCGGAAGCTCCATGTGATTTCCACCAACAAGAAAGAAGAGGACAAAGAACCACCAGCACCACCAACTACCAAGAAATTCGATGAGGTACGCTTTGAATCAAATCCAAATCTTTCCGTTAACTTATTCTTTTTGCACTCCACAGGAGAAATACAATGCCAATCAAAAGTTTGGTCTGTGCGAGGCTCTGCTCAAGGTTGGCGACTGGGAGAACGCGCTCAAAATTATACAAAAACTGCCGGATCAGTCGGTTGTCGTGCAGGAGCCCATTGCACGAGGCATTGTGGAGCTGGTGCATCTGTCGGTCGAGCAGATCTACTACAAGAAATGCTTTAAGGCACCCGCTGGCCGCAAGCCCAGCCGCAATCGGCTGTACGAGGATGCCGCGCTGGTTGCCAAGCTGCAGGCGCAGGAGTTTGCCGATCTGCGCAAGTACACATGGCCCATGGCCAATGTGCTGGGTCCGGCAATGCACTGCGATACGGTTCTGATGTACAAACTGGTGCGCATTATGGGCAAAATATTACTGGACATGGGCGTGGACAATCTTAACGGACCGCCGCCAAATACGGAGCTGGAGCAGCATTATTACGATATCATCAGCTGCCTGGATGCGAGCATATTGCCCTCGCTGCTTTATCTGGACAGCAATTGCTCCATGTCCGAGGAGATCTGGGCTGTGCTCAAATTCTTTCCATATCACTTGCGCTACAGCATGTATGCACGCTGGAAGAACGACAGCTATCAGCTGCATCCGAATCTGATACGACGCTGCGGCCTGGCGCAGCGGGATATCAAGGCGCTGATGAAGCGCGTCAGCAAGGAGAATGTAAAGCCGCTGGGGCGTCTGGTGGGCAAATATAGCCACTGTACGCCCGGACTGCTCTTCGATTATGTAAGCATCTATCTAGCCAGTTTGAATAAATCTCTCACTAAATAATTGCCTTACAGATCCTGGTTCAGATTCAAATATATGACAATTTAATCGGACCCGTCTGCGACATGCTCAAGTACTTGACTGCCTTGTCCTTTGACTGTCTGGGCTATTGCATCATTGAGTCGCTGACGATGACGGGTCGCGGGCGCTTCAAGGATGACGGCACCTCGCTCTCGCTGTGGCTGCAGAGCCTTGCTTCCTTCTGTGGCACCATCTACAAAAAGTACAGCATCGAGATGAGCGGCCTGCTGCAGTATGTGGCCAATCAGCTCAAGTCACAGAAGAGTCTCGATTTGCTGGTGCTGCGCGAGCTGGTCCACAAAATGGCCGGCGTCGAGTCCTGCGAGGAGATGACAAACGATCAGCTGCAGGCGCTTTGCGGCGGCGAACAGCTGCGCGGCGAGGTGGGCTTTAAATCTATATCTATATAATATTCATAATTGCAGAATACATTCCATTGTATTTTCAGGCTGGCTACTTTAGTCAGGTGCGGAACACTAAGAAGTCATCGAATCGTTTGAAGGAGGCATTGGCCAACAACGATCTCGCCGTCACACTTTGCCTGCTGATGGCCCAGCAGAAGCACTGCGTCATCTTTCGAGAGACGGCCGCGCACAGCCATCTGAAGCTGGTGGGCAGTCTGTATGATCAGTGCCAGGATGCCTTGGTGCAGTTTGGCACATTTCTGGGCTCCACCTATTCGGTGGATGAGTATGTCGAACGCCTGCCATCGATTATCACAATGCTGCGCGAATATCACATTAACACAGACGTCGCCTTCTTTCTGGCACGGCCCATGTTCACGCATCAGATTAACGTAGGTGTCGCTCGTTGAAATTTAGATTACAAAATGAGTTAATTTGGTTTTAATTTTGCTTGGCAGCAAAAATACGATCAACTGCGCAAGGCGGATCCCAATGCCAAGAAGCTGACGACGGCGCAAAAGCTGCAAAAATATCTGGAAGCCACGCAGTTGATAATGAATCCCATTGTAGAGTCGGTGCGACCGCTGCACAGCTCCAAAGTGTGGGAGGACATAAGCCCACAGTTTCTGGTTACCTTCTGGAGCCTGAGCATGTACGATCTGCATGTGCCCAACGAGATCTATCAGCGGGAAATTGGCAAGCTAAAGCAGCTGGCACAGCAGGCTGCCGAGGGCAAGGATTCGGTAAGATCAGGTCGCATACAACCAAAAGAGCTTCTCCAAAAATGTCTTTACTCTTGCAGAACCAATCGAAAAACAAAAAGGAACAGGAGCGTTACATTGCGCTCATGGAGAAGCTGAACGATGAGCGCAAGAAGCAGCACGAGCATGTGGACAAGATACTGCAGCGCCTGCAGGAGCAGAAGGATGGCTGGTTCCTGTTGCGCTCGGCCAAGTCGGCCAAAAACGATACCATTACACAGTTCCTGCAATTGTGCCTCTTCCCGCGCTGCACCTTCACCGCGCTCGATGCGCTCTACTGTGCCAAGTTCGTGCAGACTATACACAATCTAAAGACAGCCAATTTCTCCACGCTGCTCTGCTACGATCGGGTACGAATCAACTATCTATATATATATATATAAGACTATTCTGCCTGATAGACTCTCTGCCTGATTGGTTAATTTATGTCATGTAAATCCACGATAAGACAGGGTATTCCAGCCTTCAGTGCGGAAAAGGGGTTCACAGATTTGGTGGATGAAGTTTTCAACTTACCTTAAAGGAGTTTTTTAACGCGTATTTCACACATCTAGGAAAGTCCATTCCCCTCATGGTTGGGTGTCAAATTATGTTAAGGCAAATTTGGAAATTCCAACTGCAACTGGGGAGAATGTTTTCCGATCGACTTTCAACTCATTTATAAATATCTGTGTAAATTATATTTAAGTTCTCGCGGGCGGGAAAAGTTATATATACAATTATTAGAATAAACTTGGTATAGTATATATATATTATAATCTGTCCTAATAATTCTTTCGTTTCATCCACCTCAGCTGTTCTGCGACATTACGTACTCGGTGACATCGTGCACGGAGGGCGAGGCGACGCGTTATGGTCGCTTTTTGTGTGCCATGCTGGAGACGGTGATGCGTTGGCATGCGGATCAGGCGGTCTTTAACAAGGAATGCGCCAATTATCCCGGCTTTGTGACCAAATTCCGTGTCAGCAATCAGTTCTCGGAGGCCAACGATCACGTGGGCTACGAGAATTATCGACACGTGTGCCACAAATGGCATTATAAGATCACCAAGGCGATTGTGTTCTGTTTGGACTCCAAGGACTTTATGCAGATACGCAATGCGCTTATCATACTGATGCGCATACTGCCCCATTATCCGGTGCTCTCGAAGCTAGCGCAGATCATTGAACGCAAGGTGGACAAGGTGCGCGAGGAGGAGAAAACCAAGCGACCCGATCTGTTTGCCATCGCCTCCAGCTATATTGGCCAGCTGAAGCTGAAGTCGCCGCACATGTTCAAGGAGAGCGACTTCCATCAGGTGGCCGAGCGGCCCGTTAAGGAACCGGTGCCTGCGCCGCCCGGCACCGGCACGGTCAAGCTGCTGACCGGCGACAAGGTGAATGCCACGACTGCCTCAGCGACGTCCACGCCCACAACGAAAGCAGCTCCCGGTGCGCCGTTCTATGAGCAAAAGGCGGGCGTCAAGGAGCCGGACGCCAAGGCTGGTAAGTAGCTCTTAACTAAGCACAAACTTTTTGTTTATCGGAATCTCTGACGTGCAGTTCAACCGATGCGCGGCGAGGTCAAGCTCGTCAAACCGGAGGGCAGCAGCACGGTGTCTGTGGTGTCCATCTCGAAGTCCGTTTCGGCGCCGTCCAACAGCGAACGCGAGAGCAAACGGGATGCGGCAACGGCAGCGTTGCGGGAACCACAATCCCATCGCAGCATGGATGCCAGGGAGGAGCTGCAGTCTAGTGCCAACAACAACAACAGCAACAACAACCCGAGCAGCAGCAACAACAACCCGAGCAGCAACAACAACAACCCAAGCAACAACAGCAATGGCAATCAAAGCGAACGTCGCAGCCGTGAACGGGATCGGGAGCGCGAGGAACGGCACAGCATGAGCAGCACGCGCAGCTCGCAACGGGACAGCAATCGGAACAGCAACAGCAACAGCAACAAGGAACGCACCGAGGCCGAGCTGCAGCAGCGCGCACGCGAACGTTCCCAGCGTCTCGAGGAGCTGGAGGCGGCGGCCGCGCTGCGTGCACAGAAACGTGAGAAGCTATCGCGACGCAGCGACGAGCGCAGCCAGCATCGGCACGATGGCGTCGAGACGGTCGATCTGGTCACCGGCAGCGGCGGCAGCAGCAGCCAGGAGCATCGCCACTACGACGACTACGAAGGACGCCAGCGAGATCGCGACCTCAGTTCCGTCTCCAACGAGAGCAACGGTTCGCTGCAGCATCGACGCAGTCACGAGACAATTGAATATGATAAAGGTGAGCACAATCTAACTATACCACGAAAATGGGATCAGTATCAACAGCCGAGATATGGCCGTGTCCGTCTGCCTGTTTGCCTTTTGATCTCCTAATGTCTTGATTGGACTTCGCTGCGCTTCTTCATATAAACAAAATCTGATCTTTATGGACACTAGCATATTATATGAAGATTCCGTGACAGGATTATTCGAATATATGTTATATATTCGAAGCTATAACTTAATTAATTCTATACCCTTTTCGATTTGCAGATTCTAAACGTCGTAAATTGGAATCGTCGTCGAGCAGTTCAAAGGTTAGTAGCATCTGGTTGCATACATAGTACGCTAAGACAACGACCGACCGAACCGCAACCAACGGAGGGCATAAAACAAAAAACAAAAAAAAAAAACAAAAACAAAATAAGTGAAAGAGCATGTGAGAGGCGCATGTTCCGGCAGACGACGAGACGTCAGACCAAGTCGGGGACGCAACCAACCCACCAGAATCAAGTTCCGCTCTGGACACAATTGGAACACTCGTCCAAGTTAAACAAGTATACAACAAATGTGTACGAATTGGGGTATTTTTTTTTTAATAGTATTAAGATCTATTTGAAATAGTTATATATAAGCGCACAGTTGAACTGCATAGAGAGAAATTAGTATATATTTTTATTATTGTACATTAAGGAATTTTAAGGCAGCTTTGTTAAATCATTTGTAGAGTCCGTTTTAGGCTTTATCTTGCGATGTATATATTTGAGGTAGTTTATGTGTAAGTTAAGTTAGCTTTATAAGACACAAGTGGACCACAACAACAAGGCGCTAGTCAAGATGCAGACGTAAAAGACGAGATGCACAAGTTCATGACGAGAAGCAGACGTCAAAGACGATGAAGAGATGCGGATAAAAAACAAAGCAATCGCTGCGAACCACTCTACCCGGAAGCCAAAAAAGAAAAAACAACGCTGGAGTCAAGCAGAAAAAAAAAACGATTTTTGAATCATCATTGGACCAGAAACCAAACGAGCCGAAGAAAAAACCCGGACATGCTCCAAGTGCAGATCCAAATGGACTACATTCCACGTGCTGCAAATTCGCAGCAAAATCCAAGATAAAAACCTGAGAATCTGTAATCCCAGCTCATCCAATCAAACGGCGGCGGACACTTTAAACCCGAAACACAAGGGACAACACAACCAAGACGAACCGCAGTTATCTTCACGACCAATTCCAGAGCTGCAGATAAATTAAATCAAGAAGCAACTGGCAGCTAACCAGATAATAATCACTTGATCCGAGCGCCACCAAATGCATGGAAAAATAATCGACACCGAACAACAATCTAGACTCTATTCTTACATATCAAACGAAGCTGATCAATATGGAGGATAAACCTGAGAAACAAACATTCCGGAGAGCATTCCTTTCACTACACATTCGACTTGCAACACTACAAACATGGAACTATCGATTGGACATATCGATAACTATTAAGCTTTATATTAGGAAGACAAAACATATCGAAAGACAACACACCTTTGACGCTATCAACAAATTAATTGATCGATCTTCACATTATGAATCTGAAATGTGTGAAGAAACACCCCAAAACTGGAACTAGAAATTACCTTAATCTACACTCGAGACACCGCAGATGTGAATCCTAAAATAGTGGCTACAGTTAAAAACTTTCATTGGAAGAGAAGAGGAGAGGAGATCACATTTAAGTTTGGACCTGGAAACTTCCATCAAAGGCGGAGTAAACTCTGATTACAATGGAGAACTACTTGGTCTATTCGAAGACTCGGATGGAATGCTGACCTTGAAGTTGGCTCTAATCGACGTTAAGAGTGTTCGAATATATTCGACCCTAATCAACAATCGATAAATCGTACATATCAAAAATTGGACCCATTCGATGCTTTTCATCAGGAGAGAAGAATATTTAAATTTAACTTTAATCCACAATCAGAAAAGAAATCTACAACACGATAAATCGCACATATCTGGATACATTCAATAACTTTCTTTGTAAGAGAAGAATCTTTAAAGTAGACCTTAATCCACAATCAGAAAACAAATCTACAATCGATCCATTCGACAACTTGCTTCAGCACAGAAGAAACTTTAATATAAACCTCAATCTACAATCAGAGAACCGCATGTATTACTCCAAAATTGGACCTATACGTAAACCTACGTCAGAAGAAAAATTCGTCAGTCTCTTGTAATCGACTCTGAAACCGCTGAAAACTCATTTTAAACCAATAAGTTCTACGTCAAAGACAAACCATCAAAAATAATGGAACACTATTCACACTGGACGTGCTGCGCCCAGCGTTGCCCAACACTGTACCGACTCTACACAACGTCTCAGCCTAGTGCAGACTGCAGTTTAGTTGTACTTTTATTCGTTGATCTTGATTGTGTGCAGACGGGTAAGTGATCAGCGTATTGCGGGTGGGCGGACACTCAAGTTGGGGGCGTGCCAGGATTAGCGTAGCAACTGGGCGAATGTCCCATTGGGCTGGGTCTTAATACTTTTTAATTTGTCCTTTTGAGTTTTGTATTAAAAACACATCATCGCACCACATCCATCATGTTATCAGATTTTGCAATCCATATTAATATAATGTCATTACAGAAGGTGGAGGAGCTCGTCGATAGCGTGAAGAAGGCGCGCGGCCTCAAAACCAAAGAGCGCAACAAGGATAAGATGTCCGATGAGGAGCGTGACGCGCGCAAGGATCGCAAGCTGGGTCGGAAACGGGATCGCAACGAGGAGTCCGGCAGCAGTGATCACAAGCGTCGGCGTGAAGGTGAGGCAAGAACTGTGAAAATTATATTCAAGACATTCAAGAATGTACGATTTTTAGCACAAAACGGCGATGATGACATGCGCGAACGGGATCGCCATAGAGTAAGTGCTGAATACTAACCTAAGTGTGTGATGGCCAGCGATAACATTTCTCTTGTTATCTGCAGGACAAATCATCCCGAGAACGTTCGCACGACAAGTTTGATAGGGAACGCGGCGGCGGCGGCGGCGGTGGTGGAGGTGGAGGTGGAGGCAGTTCGCGTGGTGATGATCGACAATACAGCATCTCGAAGTCGACACGCTCATCGAGAATGAACTACTGAACGCATGCGGGAAAGCATCTCTTCCCGTATTGTGAAGCGCATTTGATTTAAGAATAAAAAATAGAAAAACAAAAAACGAATACAATTTTATTTACTATTTTAACGTAAACTGAAAACTAATTTGTGAAAATTTTACAATTTTCTAATGTCTAGCGTAAAAAGTTAATAACAAAATAAACACAATGTAAAGTTGACAAAAAACTATTCCAACCATGTTAAAAGTCTGCTAGAATGAAAGCTCAATTTATTACTAAAATGCTCAATTTAAATTTGGCGCCTTTCGCCGATAATTTTGATGTCCGATAAATTTTTGTACCAGCACTAAACACAGGCATCGATAAATAAGTTTGAGTCTTGCTATATATCGAACTTAAATATCGATGAGCAGCTTTTAATAATATGTACATTTGGATTTGGACACTACTTGCCTCGTTTTCGGAACTGAATTGTTCGACTTGCCAATGAAAATTCATTTATGCCTAGATTAAATATTAATGTATTCGTTTTAATTAGCATTTTATAGTATTAAGGCGTCGATACTTTTTGCCGCCGTTTCAAATGAAAGCAACCCTAAATTGCGCCCAGCGCCGTTATGACAATTTTTAGTACATTTTGTTGCAAAGGATATATCGCTAGCAAATGTCCTGTGGCACACACGTGAAGGTGAAGCTCCGAAAATTTTTAGTCTTCAGTGCGTGTCCCAACAAATTGGCAATGGCAATGGCCCGGCGGCAGTTCTACTTTAGTAAATACACAAATTTTCACAAAAATCACATCAAACTGTTTGCTGTTTATATGAAAACGGCAAATCTAATGCAAAACTTTAACGTGCTTAAGCGTTCGCTATAAGCAGCCGAAGGTGGTGGAGGAGGAGGAGGACGGGCGCTGCCGCTGTCGACGCTGACGCTGACGCTGACGCCGCCGCCGCCGCCTGGACCACCCACCAATACATTAACAGCACTTTTTACGGGCTAACTGTGTGCGTGTGCGTGTGCTAAAAAGTTGTTAGTGTTATTTCAATTACATCAATTATTATGCGACTTGCGGGAAAAGCAACAAGCCAAACAAGTGTTTCAAAGCAGACGAACCTTAAAAATTGCTTACAATAATTTTTATGAAAAAATCCAAAAACAAACAAACTAACATGTCTTAACGTAGGCGTGTCTGCTTATTGGTCGCTGCTGCTGCACAATTAAACCAGCTAGTTACGGTAAGTGCGGCTTAACTTAACTGTTCATTTATTTATGCACACACACATATACATATGTATATGTTATGCTTACATAATAAGAGATATGTGCGGCAGGCAAACGATTTTAAACATGAAAATAATTGCATAATAAACAGCCGACTTTTACATGCCATATCTTTGCGCTATATTAGCTGATTTGCAGAGCTAATGAGCCAATTTGGAGTCCACTGAAAAACATGCTACCCAATGCTGTACAAAAGAAGCTACTGCTTAGCTGGCGTTCTTTTGTGCTTGCTCTCCCAGCTGCCACATTCCGTGCTGCCAATTTAGCTACTTGAAATTTGGCTATTTTCTGGTATATGAACTTTTAAAGTGATTTGGCTTTTTTTGGGCTATTATGCCCAGTTAATTTTGGCCATTTTTTAAATCGAATTGGAGCTTCAGTTAACCAAATGTACCAAAATGTACCAAATGTACCCACTCTTTCGAATTGGTACCAAAAAATAACGGTATCAAGGTACCTACAATATTCACTATATTTAAATATGTAGCTTTTTTAGTCAACCAGAAAAGGCTCAAAATCGACTAATTAATTATTTATGTTTTCGAATTTTTCTTCAAAATGGTACATATATTCGTAACTTTTGGTACCAATAACAGTTTTTCAGTTGGCAACCGTGCTTGCTGTGCGCTCTCTTTTAATTTCGTTCGCGCTCTCTCTCTCTCTCTTGTACAAACTGTTCGTGCTCTCCCACGCCACAAATTGCAAACATCTGTTTTTGCAGGCGGCGGCGGCCATTGCGCATGTCGCTAACGGTACCTACGCTAAACAAAAACAAGTTGTCACAACGACAACGCCGACGTTTTCTTTTATTTTTTACGTCACATTCGTTGCCGCTGCTGCCAGGCGAACTGCCCGGCCATAGCCATAATAACAACAATGGCGACACACAGACGCAGCGCTCGAAAGCATGCTACTATTTGTGTCTGTATATGTGTGTGTGTGTATGCATTGACAGCATTGCAGGCGCCATGTTTGTTGTTGCTGCTGCAGCTACTGCTGCTGGGTAAATGATTTTGTTTTGTCATGTGAACAATGCCACAAGGCACACACACACTCACACACACACACATGTACACTCGTTAGTGATGCGAATTTTGTGTTTTATTTGTTTGCATTGTTGCCTTTGATCAGTCAGGCTTAGCCTTCGCCTATCGATATCGCTTTTAATTATCGAATTGCCTTTGTAATTATGCTGGCTCTGGCCACACATTGTGCTTTGCCTTTACTCAACACTAACACATCGAAAGCACATATGCATATGTAAAGGCCCTTGTAAGCGTGTGTGTGTGTTTACTTTGTTGTTCTTGTGCCCTGTAATGTTAAATAACAGGTGAAAAGGTTTTGATAATGTTGAGCACACGTGTGCTGCGGTCAGATTTTGCATTGGTACAGGATATCTTTGAGTTAGGCAATCTATTTTGTTCCCTTTTTGGCATGGCTTAGGCAATAACTATTGTCTATTTGTCACGCCCCATCCAGTCGAATTTTTATTTGCCTCTCAGCGCCAACTGATTTAGTGGATGAGTATTGCGTGTTCTTCGTCCTTCGAACATGACTATTGCAGAAGTGTAATAAATTTCGTTTGCTCTTTTTTTCTTCTACTTCCACATCATTATCTGGTTCTTGTTTATTTTGGTTTATTTTGCTGGTCGGCCGGCCTTCGCTTTGAACTTCTGTTATTTTCTGGCCAGTTTTTGGTCTTGTTGCCCAATGTCCTTGAGCCGCTTACATAACGCGTCGCTTTGTCTGTGTCTGTCTGCCTGTGTGTGTGTGTGGGAGCGAGCTGTGTGTGGATTATTAAATTTTATTCGTCATACTTACTACGATTTCTGGGCAAAAAGTTTGAGTTAAGTATGCTTAAGTCTATTGAACTTATTCTTCGAATCTACTCCCACTTATTATTATACATTTTTATTTTTTTTTAATTTCTGTTAACATAAAAAGTTCTTCAAACAAAAACTTTTCCGATATAAAAGCCGTGTGGGGGCGGTTTCTAGTGTTGTTTGTTTTTCATGCTTGGCAGAAAACTTGAATACAATCTTTTTAATTGAAAATGTTTAGGTATTATTAAGCTTTTTTGATGAATTTCTCGGACCTCAAACCTGAATTTCTAAATACTTGTTTATAAAATAAATTGTGCTACGAAATCCGATATTAAAAGCTTTTTTGTGTCGTTTCTGTGAATCTCTTGCACTTAATTCTGGGTATAAAACTGTTTTAAAACAATTTCTAACTGAATTTCTTAAAACTCCACTTAAAACCTTTTCGTACTGAATATAAGATTGTAAGCCAATTTGTTCGCTGAACTTCTTAAAAACTATAAAAAAAGCACTCAATTTTCAAGAATTAACTTTTTTTGTTAAAAATAATGCCTAAGCATGACGATCAAATCGAAAACTCAAAGATTGCGTTTTGCTTAATTTTAGCACATTTTTCTAAAATTAAGCATGTTTCATTTGGGAAATATATATTTTTTTCAGACTTTTCGGCATTGGAAACTTGGCAGAATGTCGATGCAGGTTTTACCCGATTTGAGTGCAAAGTTCTATAATTTTTCGCTGAGTGTATGCCTATCTGAGCTTAATTTAATTATTTTGAAATTTAAGTTGTCCTTAATTCAAGTTGATTTTATACGCTTACTTGACTATGAATTGATTACACGCTGTTGGCTCACAGTCACACCCACACACCCACACACACAGTCACACCCTCACACACACACCCACACCCTCACACACTTCTGCTGCTGCAGCAAATGGTTTTCGCATAGTCACACTTTATGGGCGGAAAATGGTCGTGAAAATGTCGTGAATGCCATGCAATCCATGCAGGATTGCCATCTTGGTTGCACACAAGGCGTTTGTCCTTTGCTTTCAATTATGTGCACTTAGTGCATGCTGTTCAAGTACAAGGATAATGTGTATATACACAAAACACTTTGTGCACATATCTTGCATATCTGTTGTGCAGTTGCCAGCAGCTGCTCCCCAGCTCCAAGCTGGCCAGCTTGGCTCTGCACTCTCTTATTTTTGATTTCCTTTTTGTGTGTTTTTTTTGCCTTTGGCTTTTTGTGGCTCGTGTCAGTCGATCGATATGGAAATGCCACGAACCTGATATTGAAATGTATTCGCCAGCGAGTTATTTTCAATGGCAGGCAAAATGGAAACGCATACATTGGCATTGCCACTGTGTACATTGTAATTACAACTGAATTACGTACGGCTTGTTATCCTTGCAAGCTCTTAGCGTACACTAGGCTAAAATCAATTTAAGCTGCATGCTCTGACAATTCCTCTGCGGTCGCTGACTGTCCACTCAATTATTAATTTCATTTAACAATGAAAATCGCTGCACAATGAAAACGAAAAAACAAAATAAAATGCTGGAAGTGTGGCATGCACGGCAGAGTCCTTTCGACTTGCATTTTCTATGCTTCAGAAACGGCAAGAAATTGATATTAAAATAAGCTCTTATTCGTAATTTCAAGAAATTTCCGATTTGTTTTGAGTTATTTTTAAAGAGTTTAGAAATTTTTAATAATTTTTTCCTCATATTTTTTTTTTATAGAAAAATTGGTTTTCATTACAAAATAATGTAAGATTCGTTTCTGATGTTGAGCATCATTAACAGTTGTCTGTTAAGCCTAACATTGCTGTTAACAGTGCGTTGTTAGAACGCTGGTAACAGTGCGCTGTTAGAGCGCTGCTTACAGCTGTAAGGGTTTCGCTAGAACGCTGTTAGAACGCTGTTTACAGCGCGCTGTTAGAGCGCTGTTTACAGCTGTAAGGGTTTCGCTAGACGAAACTTGCTGTTAAAATATACAA